TATTCTATTTTGTGGGACATATTTCATTTGTCTCGGTGGGGAAATAGGATAATTCATTCCAACATTGGTTCCTGTTAATTGTGAACATCAAATCCATCGTGCTTTTAACTGATTTGGATTATACTAATGACTTTTTAGTATTATTAACTAGACAATGTTGGATATTATTAAAAAAAGAGAAAATCGAAGATCCCTCAATGGACTAAGATGCTAGGAGCATGCCTAAGCTTAATAAGTAAAATTTACTTTTAGCATTTCATTTTCATTCACGTTTAACTAATTCAATTTATTTCTCTCGTTAGTAAAAAGTTACTCATAAGCAAACGATTAAAACTTATGTTACTACAAAATGTAAAGAACTTAAGCTCACTTATCTACTCACAAGTAAGCAATTTAAACTTCACCAAACATGCTCGGTTGAATCTAATTTATAACAGGGCACAAAATATATAGTGAAAGTTCATTGAGATATTGACAAAATTGCAAAAAATGATTAACTTCAACTACCCACTTTAATGATCAGAACAAAGAAAAGTTCAGCGACAAAATTGGTATTTAGAAATTGTTTGAGCCCCATTTTGGGACGAAAAAGATATTTTTTAATAGTTTATTGATGAAACATGTATGATTAATTAAAAAAAAATTAAATTTACATGTAATATTATTTTATTGAAAAATGTATAATAAAAAATAATGTTAAAAAATGCATTTTCTTCTAAAGAATGAGGGTCAAACAAGGGCTTAAGTTAGCAATTGTACTATATGTACATAATTATTTAATAATGACATATAAACATGATGTGATAATATATGATTTAATCAAAAAAATTTCAATCAAATTCTTTTTTGACACCTCATCGGAACCAATATGTAAAAGTTGCATTATTCATAAGTAAAAGTTCAGTGACCACTAGTGATTTTAACCCAATATAAACAAACATACAGATACGAGAGCAACCAGCCGTTTATAAAAAATGTAAGCAACTATAATGTTAGCAAACCAATAAATAAAGCCATTGGAAAGCCGCTGTCAACAATTATTTTCTATCTTGTCTAAACATCTCAACACTGGATGTT